GGAAGAGGTGAACCTAGCCCAATTCAGTAAATTCAGGTCGGGCTCCATCGGCGCCACCGGTAAAAAACTGAAACTTCTCTACTGCGCAATACAATCAGATGAGGTCAGCGTACGTATCGCCTTTTTTTAATCTACAAATATTCTCAATCACGGCCGGCAGAAGGCGAGTCCGTAGCCCTTCGATAGCCAGGTAGAACCACACGCGAATTGCAGGCCCACTATACGCGGAGTTTTAGTACGACAGACCTACAACAGCAAAGATGCTAGAGATTTAAAGGAAAAGGAAACCCCACTACCGATACGAAACTTTGATTCATCCGACCTTTTAAATTTACGCTGGAGTCCATTGTCATAGACAAGAACACATAAGACTGGTAGACGCAACACACGGAGCTCAGTATTTGTAGGATGCTGTGGCCACGCAGCCGTATAATCAAATAAGTATCCCTGCACCCACCGCTGATGGTCACACCTGGAGTGTCGCTTTCCCGAAGTAAGATGATCAACAACTTGAAAGCTGCCGTAATCCAGTTCGAAATGGCGGTAATGACAGGCTATGATGAGTAGACGTGCTGAAATAGGTTAGATTTCTAAGTACTTTTGTAGTTTTTTGATTGTTTTAGGGTGCTTTTGCCTCGCTTTGGTTTTAGCCAATAACCGCCATATTCTGTAATATGGGTTTGTCTATTTTGGTTATTTTTGGTTGTGCGGAATCGCGTTCCATCAGAGGTCTTCCGCAAATTGTGGGGATAGCCAATTCCCAGACGATAGCGACCAGCGTTCTAACCAGGCTAGTTTCGTCGCCAAGCCTGTGAACGGCTACGACCAATCGATGAAGACAAAAATATCGATCGGTGTCACGGAGTCGCAAACCTGAGGTCGAGTCACACCCATGGGCTGAGGCTGTCACGCTCACGTACGCAAGGCTCGGCAGCGCCACCACTGATGGCCATGAAAGCGGGAAGCTACAGGTCGCCGTACCAACCGCATCCGAATCGTAAACTGCTGCGATTTTACTACAACCTAACCTTCAGCGACTGGCGTGATAATTACACCTCGCAACCGCTACTGGGAACACTGATCGTCCGAGCGTTCCATGAGTGGGCAATGACTTTTTACGGTTAAAGCCTTAACTTGGAATAGGAGTGAGAAGTCTATAACGATTGTTAGTGCCCGATAGGGCAAACGCGTCCGAGGTAATTTAACAGTTTGTCTGACCGTACCCTTGCCGTAAACGACACCAGCTGTTTCCTGTTGTGGCTGCAGTTCATTCGAACCCAGCATTTGGCACTTGATGGTCACGACCAGTCTCTGGGAAAACCTGACTTCGAATGGCGTAGGACGGCAGATGACATCTTCCGAACTGAATGTAGAACTTGCCAATACAATTGTTATATTTTTAGGCATGCGTTGATGTAGAAACTGCAAAGCATAACCATTGCACCCCTTTTACATCCAAGGACCATTACTGTTTCTGTTCCCCGGTAAGGATTCCCTATAGATAACACAACAGTAACAAAAATTCCAGGCATTTGTAATATGGAACTGCTAGTAATAGAGGTTATATCAGAGGGAAGGAAAATAAAAAAACTACATGATAAACTAATACAATTAAAGCTAAACTAAACTAAACTAAAACTAATAAAACTAAATAATAAACGAATACCTTAACTAAACTAAATAAGAAACTACAGTGAAATAAGTAGTTAATGATTTATAGTAAAATACAGTGTTGTTTATAAGGAATCCTTACGTGTTCCTGGAACTGGGTTCCTGCGTTGATCCGAAAAGTCAGCGACTGGTCGCTGTACTGAATCACAACCCGTGCCTAAACCATCCTGGTAATTATATACGTCAAACTAAACTTTTCCTCAGATCGCGCATACACCAGGAGAT